ATATCATTTATTTCACCAGAACTGTTGAACGGTATCAAATTTTGGACCAAATTGGTATACTTGCTGACTGTCTGTCGGTCTATCTATTCGTGTGTGTGTACGTGTATCTATTTCTCTATCACTCAAAAACCGATTTAGATTAAGGGAATTTCACATTTTGTCATGACATCAAAATAGTAGATCTCTCAAAGATCTACGAAAAGAAGTTCAGAATGAATACTTGATACTCTTCACTATATGCGGAAGCCAAACAGGAAGTACAGGAAAATGTTCAGGACAGAAATCACCCCCATTTGCTTTGAAGTAACATTATCAAAAGTAAGATTATTTACATTTTTGCATTCTTAAATTCTTGAAGATAAGTCCAAAAATCATAATTTCAATAATGTGACATTTAAATCTGTTTATATATTTTTGCTACGTTAACTTTTTTTCGACAATACAGAGCAGTAATAGATTCTTCTGTTGTGTAAAACTTTGTTTATTCAGTATGTCTATTATTCCCAATAGAAATGCGAACAGGAAGTTTCAAAAGTATCTAAGTAATAAACCCTTCAATTCAATACAAATATATTAACCTTTTACCTACAAGCGTTGATATACTAGCAGAATTTTCCCTCGGCGTATAGACTAATAAGATGTTGCACTACTAAGACGTTAGGATTTAATTGCATCTAAGGAATTAATCTACATATACTCTTATTACCATATAAGTAGTTTTAATTCCCTGCCCTGTGGTATGACCTCATGCGTAATGAATAAGACTTCTGCTAATAAGAGCAGACATGAATAAGAGAATCATAAGATACCTCAGATTTTTCTTCCAGTGCCGAAAAAAGAGGCTAAATCATGTTCCTGTTTCCGACATTTTAAAGGACATATTGATATTTTGCTCCTCCGTAATCTAAAAGTAAATGCTTTTTTGGTACTAGGTTTAGATTTTACAAAGGCAGCATTCAGACTATCAAATTGATCCATAGCCACAATCAAAGTAGAAACGTGATGTTTCTGGTTAAAATATATACCGATGCAGAAATTTCCCTAAGGTATTTCGCATTGTTCATTCTATGTCTAATACAAAAAGAGAAAAAAAACATTACTGAATAAGTACTGAAAAACAAATATTTTCAGTAACAATTTCAGCATACTTTCGTTTTTTTAACGAATTCTATATGTGTTTCAATAGAGGCTGATTAAAATTTTTGTTTCCGAATTAATTTTTTTTCAGTTTCGAGTCTTTCCTTTAAATTTAATTTCATTTGCTTAAATCAGCATTTAAAAGAAATATTGTTATTTTGCTGCTCTTAAAATGGAGAATTTTATACTCTTGAAATTTTTTCATTGAATTTCGTAAAATATCAATTGTCTTCCCTTGTTATCTTTGAAACTTGCGTAATTTTCGAGTAATTTCAAGCATTAATCACTATATGTTGTGAGTGTATCTGAAAGTACAGGGCGTCCAAAAATTATTGTCGGGGTTTCATTATCTCTTAACTTTTGATTAAAGAACATGACGATAAATTTTATTATATTATTACATATTCATAAAGTACAACATACAAATTTTTAATAATATAAACAAAGTTAAATAATTTCCGCATGGCAGACTTTCGAGGCGTGTAACCCATAAGCACTTAGTTGGAAATTGAGTTCAGTCTCGATGTGTCTATGTTGAGGTTAGTAAAATGCATGAAATCTTTATATAAGAGTAGTTAAGTACCTTGCGCGAAATAAGAGCAACAAAACTTCTAAGAGTTTGCAGCTTTTAGAAAATAAAAGTTGTGTCAGCCTTTCGTGGCACGTAACACATCGAGAGTGTACTCAATTTCCAGCCAAGAGTCGATGGGATACACGCGCTAAAGGCTGCAATGTCGAAATTACTTAGTTTTCTTTGTGTTATTAAAAAACTTTTTTCAGTTGTGCTTTATGCTTATGTAATAATATTTATCGTCGTGTTCTTTAATCAAAAGTTATGATGTAAGAAAACCCCGACAATAATTTAAGGATACCTTGTACATTAATATTAACAGTGGCGAATCCAGGGAGGTGCTATGGTGCTGCAGCTCCCTCCCCCCCGAACTAAACCAGAATTCTTGATTTTATTTTATTAAAAATCACTTCAACTGTTTGTTCTCAGTTTCTCTTTTTAAAAATAATAATAAAAAAGTGACAATATTGCTTTTTGGCTTGACAGGCTCGAACATTTTCCTACTTTTCTAGTCATTCCACTTGTACTTGTAGCGTTGACGCGGCCGAAAACATTTTTTGGCTACTTATTTCATTGTATTTTTTATTAAATTATCGAAAGTATTGTTGTGTTCTTTGTGATTCTTATTGTCAGGTGAGTAAAATATGTAAAGTGTTTTGGTTTACATAAGCCATAAGGTTGGACATTCGTCACGACGATACAAAATTTTTGTAACCTCACCCCCCTTTCCAGACCCAAATCCTGGATTAACCACTGAATATTATTCATTATATTGCCAGAAGGTGCTGGAATATAATAAATATCTGTCCTCTTACAACTCGTATATCTTATTAATCAAAGGTTTTACACTCGGTTTGTTAAATAATTATTTTAGCCGAGATAAAATTATGTTGCATATTTATTTATGTTTTAGAAATTCTATTAAAAATTAGCTCTGTAAGTGAGCTGGATTATATTGAGTTTAGTGCTAACTACGATTTTTTTTTCAGTGGATTTGCTTTGTATTTATATTTCCAGCTGCATTTTGTTCCGTGCCGTATTTTAAGAAATTTTACCAACTAATTTCAATATACACACGAGTGAAAAGTATTGAAATATAAATACAGGATGCTCATAAATTATTGTCGGGGATTCCTTGCTTCATAACTTTTGATTAAATAACATGATGGTAAATATTTTATTGCAAATTCTTAAAGTGCAGCTCACAAGTTGTTTTTAATAACACAGACAAATGTAATTAATTTCCACATGGCACGTATCACATCTAGACTAAACCCTATTTCTCGGCAAGTACTGATGGATTACAGCCGCAAAAATATGCCTCTTTGTTCGTGTTATTAAAACTTTTTGAGTTGTACTTTATGAATATGTTATAATAGCTATCGTCATATTCTTTAATCAAAAGTTATGAGAAAAGGAAATCCGACAATGATTTATGTACACCCTGTATTACGGTCAAACTTCTTGATGAAATGTCACCTTTGTCCCATCGTTACAATTTTAACAAACAGTAGTTGAAAATCACACTATTCAAGACGAAGAATACTTGCAACTGTGGAACGAAAATTTTTAATAGAAATTACCAATTTATTTTAAATAGTGACTTTCGTTCCAAAGAGTGAAAATGATACATATTCTTCTACTAGAAAGAGAACTTCCATCATGAAGTAGGGAGATAAGACTGCTAATAACAGTGAAACAATGAAAATGATACATATTCTTCTACTAGATAGAGAACTCCCAACTAGAAGGAGAGGAGGTCTGACTGGTAACCAATACTCCGCTTGATTAACTGTAATTTGTAATATAGAGGGAAGCGACAAAATTTTAACAACAAAATATGTTTATTAAAAATATTCAATAAAACACTGAAATGCTCCAGGCCATCTTTATGAATTACCCCCTCTCTGATGTTTAGTGAATCATTAGTTGAATTTAGTTTGAGTTTTAAAGCGAAAATTTTGAATAGAAAATCACCAGTTTCTCTTAAATAGTGATTTTTTGTCAAACGTGAAAATGATTCTTATTCTTCTACTAGGAGAACTTCTAACACGAAGGAGAAGAGATGTGTCTGTTAACCAACAATCCGCTTGATTAACTAAAATTTGTAATGTACGAGAAGCAGGAAGTGACAAAGTTTCAACAAAAATGTTCAGTTAAGAGCTGAGATGTTCAAGATCACTCTTATGAAGTTTTCACTGCCTAGCAATTAGTGAATAATTAAGATAGAGGGAATTAGTCTAAGATACATCACATGACTTTTTATTCTAAATCGAGATAATCAATTGCTTCAACAAACGCTGAAGAGAACTCAAAAATTTAAATTGACCTGCCAGTCATAAGTAGCACTTATAACGATGATTCAGTCAATAACGTAAGTGGATTTAATGCTTTAGTTTTGGAATTAGCTGTCATCTAACACTTCAGAATCTTTCTGTTAGTATCAAAGCTTTAAACATGTTGCTATATTCAATTTGCAGTAACTTAACTTATTATATTCAGCATCTACAATATGCATTTCAAGACTTTTCCTATTTTCAGTGTGTACAATGCTGATATTTCCCCTTTCTACAAAATTCAGCATGATTACTTCAAATCACATCTTTATTCCTTCGTAACCACCACACTGTTATACAGTCATTATAGCTGTTTCCCAAGAAAAGATGGCTTATGTGAGACGGAATGTGTTATCCAAATGCTTCTAGAAATAAATTCCTGACCCAGACAATGCAAGAATGGTTCAAGAATATAGAGCATAAAGCATTATTGCTACCACACCGCTCAAACTGTAGTCGAAAAAAATGCACATCTGTTGTTGTAGAGCAAAGCGTACTCACAGTGGTAGTAACTACAATCGAAAGGCAGTCAGATTTATCGGAAGATATCTTTATAGCAGATACGTTCAGTATGACTCTAGTATCTCCAAAGATGCAACGGTTCCTTCACGATCAATACGATTCCTCTAGCTTGTCTAAGAATTGGCATATAACCATAAAGGAATTCCCCCCGCCCTGCTGTAGCGTTTGGGGGGAAGCTGGATGACCCGACCGCCATGAATATCAAATTCGGGCACTGCCATTGGTTATCTTTCCCTACGGACCATTTAAAGCATTAAACCAAATAGGTAGGTTGATTCGGAGTTTCTTGTGTGTGTAAATTCCGGCAATGTGGCTGAGGCATTATAGCCCCATTACGAGCAGAACATGCGGGGACTCCTCAGACAGAACACCTCCCTGTGCTTTTTAGCCATTACAGATACTTCCCAGTTTGGATGGGCAAAGGATAAAATTTTTTCCCATGCTGGGGATAGAACCCTGCCCGCCTGGGTGAAAGCCAGGAATCCTATAGGAATCCACTAGACCACATGGGAGACTAGGCACGACCCGTCATTGGCTTGGAGATCATTTAACCACAAATCAATATTGTATCCACCTAGGAAGTGAGTCTACAGCTTACTTATACAGCAGCGTTTTATCCCCATATTTAAGGTGCCCCCTTTGAAGTAAAATGGGTACGTAAGTGTTTGTAGATTGTTAGGTCTTGAACGCTCAATCAAATGAAGTTGATTTGCGCTACATCAAAATCACATGTTGAACGTATCTGCTGTAAATAGTTGTAAATGTTTTTATATTCCACTGATAATAGTGTTCTGCGCATTCAAGATACAACATTGTTACATGTATGTACTACTTTATTCCATTAATGAAAGTTCACCGATGAATGTTCAACAGAAATTGATTTTTTTTCTGTTTTTTTCTGATTAATCAAGTAGCTAACAATCTGATACTAAGATAACAGACATGACTTCACAACAAATCTTCACTTTAAGTTTAATATTGATTATAACCCAATACATAGGTAGAAATCTTATTCGACTTTACAAAAGTAATATTAATACATTTAAGCTTGATTGCCACAAAGCTGAAAAATTACTCCTAATGCTAAGACCTTTATTTACTCTTATGACAGTCAACTAATTTTACTTTCTTTATAGTATACCTGGGCAGAGCGCTTATCACCTCAGGGGAAAGACGTGTTTTGTGGAAGGAATGTATTGTGTCCTCAGTAAACTGGGATATTCTTCTCTGTTCAGTTGTTGTCAGTTTTTTTAAAGGTGTTCCAGCAGGTGATAAAGCATGCTATGTTCGTTAATCTCCACTGGCCCTGTAATCATTGTCACACTTTAGAGGTTCTAACACCTAAATACTACAGCGTTTCTAAAATCTTTAATGGAAAAAGAGATTCAGCCGCACAACAACTCAAAGAGAAGAGCAGAAAATCGCACGCAACGCCTGATATATATAAGTCAATAAAATACTCACTTAAGACTGGTGTATGTGAACAACATTCATCTCTTACATTAATTGCAATATTAATTATATTGTAAAATTTTAATTATAATATAAACTAATGAATTTGCCTTTTAATTAAGTTCCTTACTTTTATGCAAAGCAGAATTTAATTAAAAAGAGGATATTTTAGAACTAAAGCTTAAATTAACTTGTTTAAGGTCTTTAATAAGATTTAAATAATGAAGTATGTATGAATGAAAACTATGTTTTCCCATATATATGAGATATTCATTGTTCTTAGTGGAAGAACTTTGACCTTAGATTCACGGAAGCCTTATTACTACCGTTCTTATTAGAAAGGTATGTGACATTTGTGCGGCAATTTATTTTTCTGACAAAGCTCCCGCACTAACAAATTTTAGTAGATTTAATAGAATCGTTGATTGCAGAAACCACACGAATCAATGATACCAAAATGCTGGTATCTTAAAAAGAACTGATTAATTTTTTTAAAAATCAATGATTAAAATGTTTTTGCCTGGTAGATTTTTATATACCTATAATGTGACTTTACTTGAATATTGCGATTGCCATTTCTTCATTCATTAAGCAAATACCCTTTAGAGTGTGAAAACAGCATTGACCTTATTTTTTAAAAAAATAAGGTCAATGCTGTTTAGTAAAATAAGGTAAAAATGACTCATGTGATTTCTGCAATCGGCGATTGAATTACTTTTCAACTGTTTTAGAACCACTTATAATTTACAAGAAAAAAATGAAAGTATAACAATAGTATATAATTTTTGAGCATAATAAAGCCTATTTTAATGCATTTTATAGTACCTTATAATTAACAATACACCTGCAAAAAATTTACATACTTCGAAAATTCATGTTGTTCTAACGGGTTAGAATAGTTTAGCTTCTAAATATATATTCGAATTATGTAGAAAATCAATGCAGAAAAATTTACTTTTAAATAGAGCAGTAAAAATTTCAGAAATGTGAAAGTTAGTAGTAAATCTTTTTTTTAACGATCAATATCTACTTATTTCCAAGAATATTACCAGATACTGTCAGAACCTCATCTTAAGTCAAATAAATATTTCAGTACAAGAAAACCCCTAATTTTCAAAGAATATCCTGATAATATAAATAGATCGTTTCGAATTGACAAATGCAAATTTTTTTTACAATAACGATTTCCTCATCATTTGAAAAATTATCAGAAACAATCAGTATTATATGCACCATTAACGAAAATCGCATAATTATAATAATAATTTTGATGAAGATTTTCAATGAACTGTAATTGCCAATTAATGTGAATCAGTCACCTCGAAATCTTTAATAGCATGTTCTAAATGAAATGATGTTCATGATGAAAGTTTTCTATCGTTTGAAAGATAATGAAAAATAATCTGGACAATATATGAATTAATTATAATATGAATTAATGAATATGCCTTTTAATTATTTCTTTACTTTTATGCCGAGTAGAATTTAATGAAAAAGAAACTATTCTAGAGATAAAGTATTAATTACTTCACTAAAGATCTTTCAGAAATAATAGCTGAAGATTTAAATAATGAGGTATGTAAGAATGAAAATCATGTTTTCCCAGATATATGATATATTCAGTGCTCTTAGTGGAATAATCATATTAAAAATGCTTAATTTTTTAAACATCCCAAATAATAATAACATAAATAAATTAATTGAATAATCTAATTCATTTTTCTAAAGATTAAGCGACCAAGTTTCCTAATGTCTCAAAATACGAAAAAATCAGAACCATGTTAATCGTATTAAAATTTATTAATTTAAGTCCTGAATCGTTCTTAAAATTTATCAGTATTTTTCTAAGATTCTAAATAACATTGCAACATAAACAAATCATTTAATATGATCAAATGCTGTCGGGAGAAAGTCCTTTTTTCCATATTATTCTTTACTAATCGTGAAGCTTATGCAATACTTGCTCTTAGCATCTTCAGGTTTAAAGATTTACTAATGTCTTGAAATACTATACGAAATCATAAGAACCATGTTTAACCCATAATCCTGAATCGCACTTTAAATATCATAAAAATATTTTTTTAATTTCCTAAATAACATTATAAGCATACGCAAATAATTTCTAATAATCAAATACTGTCAGGAGAAAGACCTTTTTCCATATTATTATTTACTAACGGTGAAGATTATGCAATAGTTGCACTGAACATCTTCAGTTTTAAAGCCTTTAAAAAAGTTACAAATTGATTTCTATTCTCCCATATATATTTTTTAATATCTTGAAATACTATACTAAATTATCCATGTCTAACACATCGTCCTGAAGCGTACTTAAGAAATTTCTTAGAAATATTTTTCTAATATCCTAAATAACCTTGTAACATAAACAAATCGTTTCAAATTATCAAATGCTATCGGGCGAAAGCCCCTTTTCAATATTACTCTTTGCTAATGGTGAAGCTTATGCAGTAGTTGCACTTAACGTCTTTAGGTTTAAAGCGTTTAAAAAAGGTGGAAATAGATTTTTGTTTTCCTATATATATTTTTTAATAACTCGAAACACTACACTAAATCATCAGAATCACCCATGTTTAACACATTGTCCTGAATCGTACTTAAAATTTCATAAAAATATTTTTCTAATATTCTAAATAACCTTGTAACGCAAACAAATCGTTTCAAATGATCAAATGCTGTCGGGCGAAAGCCGCTTTTCCATATTATTCTTTACTAATGGTGATGTTTATGCAGTAGTTGCAATTAACATCTTCAAATTTTAGATTTTCTAATATTTTGAAATATTAGACGAAATCATCGGAACCATGTTTAACTGATCATCCTGAATCGTACTGAAAATTTCTTAGAAATATTTTCTAATATCCTAAATAACCTTGTAACCTAAAAAAATCGTTTCAAATGATCAAATGCTGTCGGCGAAAGACCCCTTTCCATATTATTCTTTACTAATGGTGAAGCTTATGCAATAGTTGCACTTAACGTCCTCATGTTTAAAGCGTTTAAAAAAGGTGGAAATAGATTTTTGTTTTCCTATAGAGAAGGAAAATGTTTCCTTTAAGCATTAACATTATATTAAGTGGGTTTAGGGGCAGAAATGAGAGGGTTTCTTAAGTACCTAAAAATCAATGCAGGGTTGGTATTTGATTCGTTCTACCGTGCTTTTCTTCAAGAAGATCAATAGGAAAAGGAAGCTGGAGAGGTTGGAAGGAAAAAGGGATCTCTTTGCTGCTAAGAAAAGGAATGAATGACTCGGGCGAAATAAGAACTGTATCATTTAAAAGATCCAACAAAATGTGACAATCGATGGAAATAAATTTGCGTTTCACACTCGAATTAATTTGAATAAACCATTAAAAATATCGGAGGAAAGAATTTTTTAGAGTTAATGAACACTTTTTGGATTTAATTTTTCCTGAGGCGAAAAATGATGGATCAACCTTTTGGAATTGTTTTTACCTGATTTAGATACTTTCATCAACATAGAAACCGATTTGATTCGCGATATTAATTAAATGATGATGCAGTTTGTTCTATATATTGAATAATTGTTTTTAATTTTCAGCATTCTATAAGATCAATGGATTTTATAACAATATGTGTTATCTTGCTTAAAAAATTATGATCAACAATGTGAGTGCTTAATGTTGAATTAACAACAAACGAGGCGAATTTTGTATCAAATACATCGTGTACCTTCTTTTCCTACTAAATCCATATTCAAAGTGTCTCACACACTTTGATTAAATAGTATTTACAGATACATGACGTACATCCGTTTTAAATTTCTAATTATTACATACGTAGAATGTTGTCGGTTATCGAAAGTTGCACAATTCAGTTTAATTAATCTAACGTTTATTAATTTTTCAGGCTTGTTAAATTGAGTTTCGAGACTATGTTTTATGAAACGAAATTTATTAAGTCGTAGTTGAAGCAGAGTATAACTTCTGATATCTGAAAAGAATGTTCAACAATATTAATAATTTGAGATATTTCACTTTAATGTTTGTGAAATATAAAATCATAATTAATGAGCGTAATT